CACAATGATATTAATTCTTATTATGTTGATGGTGTTAGTATCACTCGTGGGTCTCCTCGTCAACATATCTGGACACTAATGGCTGGACTGCATCAAGATACAACTGCTCGTGGCATAGGGGAATACAATTGTCCTTGCTCTAAAGTTAGTCCTCAAAACTCAACTCTTCAGTCTTTCATTGGTAATGACTACTTCTGTGAATCTGCTAATCCTGCTACTGATAATACATGGCATGAGAGTCTCTATGCATCTGATCCATTGTGGGATGGTAAAGGATGTGGTAGTCTTGAAGGTGTTTGTTGTGCAGCTCCTGGTCTTCCATGGTTTAATAAGGTACTAAACACTACCACTACTGACTACCTTGAGCTGAGGGTGTGTGGAGATGAGGGAACAGCTGGTGAGGATGCTCCTGTCAGCTTTTATGAGTTGTATGTCAAATGAAATTTGAACATGCAAAGACAGAAAATGTCTTTATTATTTTTAAAAAGTGGTCATAACTTGAAAAATTTAAGCCGGAATTAGCTCAAACTTTCTACACAGCATAAAGAGATCAATATGTATTAGAAAATATAATAAAAATTGGGGGTCATTTCAGAGCCAATTTTTGGGAAAAATCATGGGCTATATACATAGCCTTGGATTTTGTCAAAAATTTTGATTTTGTAGGGTGTTTATCTGTCTGTTGTCACCCACAGAAATTCAGAAAAAAATTATTTCTTTCACTGAGTAGTGCATGGCACAAAAAGTATTTAAAATGTTTAACAAACCTGCATATCACAATAACATTATAACAGTCATGTAGGTTAAAGTTTATAAAAATAGTCTGTGCATGGTGTTTTTAATGTAGTAAAATTTGTGTCATGGACTGCTAATATTAATCATGATCAATATTAGCAAAGATTTAAAATTGTGAGAAGAACCAGCCAGCATTGACTTTGATTATTGTAAAGATTATTGATTATTTTTGGCAAACCAAAAAGACACATTCCTATGCCATGTAGATATATTACTAGCTGTTCTGAACAAAAATAAAAACCAAACAAGATTCATTCAAGGCTTTGTAACAAAAGTAATATAAATTAGTTTCTATTATAACATAAACAACAGTGTTTTTGCTGATGTATATGCCATTTCCTACTAACAAGTACACAGTTCAGCTATTGGAATGTGTTATTGACACATGATCCATAGCAGAGTTTGTCACTCATCCATTCAAAAGTGCATAGTTTATACTCACAGATTATTTAATAAATTAGATTAGCAGATCTTTTATTTCAACGATATCATGTACATGTATCTGATAGATATCATACTACAATATTGTCTTGCAACACTATATAAATGTAAAGAGCAGCTTTTTCTTGGAACTGTTTGAATTAAGTGGAAATAGCAATGGAAAATAACGAGAACATGTCATACATGTCATTAGCTCCAGTACAGAGTCAGGAGCATCATTATGAGATGCTTAATACGAATGTTAATAATGCAAGGAGGAATGGTGGTGATGCTCAATCAACAGAAGTGGCAATACAGAATAAAGTATCAAAGCAGTTAACATGGAGTACACCATTGGTTGTTATTGCTGGACTGCTGTGTCTCATGGTATTGCTACTGGTGGTAATACTTTGCTTATTACTGGTGCTATTGTCTGCTAAAGATGCTACCAGTACCAGCAATACAGCTATCACTGGAGCTATTGCTGGAGCTGGAAGTTTTGTTCCTCCTAACTTCACTGAATGGGCTAATGATGTTGTATCTAAAGTCAACAAGAGCCTTCCTGATTTTGATCAATGGGCTAATGGTGTTGTATCTAAAGTTAACCAGGCCCTTCCTGATTTTAATCAATGGGCTAATGGTGTGGCACAGAATACTGCTCAGTTACTGCAAAACTCTTCAAACTTCACTGAAATCAATGAACAAATCTTGCAAACTACAAGAGATTCTGCACAAAAGCTAATAAACATTGTCAAAACCCTCTCTAATCTAGAAGACACCAGTACCTCTATTGCTGGAGTGGTTGATGATATACTACTTAAAGCACTAGAACTATTAGCACTTCACAATGACTCAACTGCTTTACCTACCTCTTTAAAGAGATAAGAAGAGACAACCACTCA